ATCGTGGCTGGGACGCATTAACTCCATTAAAATGATGGTTCTGCCTCACATGCTCTATCTCTTCCGCACACTTCCCATACCACTGTCGGCCAAATTACTGAAAAGATTCCAGACTATCATTAACGCCCATATATGGAAAAGGAAGCCCCCTAGACTAGCCACCGCCAAACTTAGCCTACCATACACGAGAGGAGATTTGGGTGTCCGGGACATCTGCAACTACTATCGAGCATCTCTACTAGCACAAGGTCTATGATTAATTAGGTCTTTAGGCGCAGAACAAAACCCTTTATGGTTAGCTCTCGAGAATGCCTGCATACATCCAGCCACTATGACCAATGCCCTCTTGACACACGAACCAAAAAACATAGGGAATGATGCACTAGGGTGCACAAAAACCACACTGAACACTTGGAGACAATGTGCCTCAGAGGTAATAGACACACAAACACTACTCAAGGAAGCACCACTCACAGCATTGCAAGCTAGTTCACCTGACCTCTCGCTCCAAACATGGTCAGCTCTAGGGATACGTAAAATACAGGATCTATATGACCAAAACAGGTTGAAAGCGTTCCCAACCCTGCAAAGCGAATTCTCCTTAAACTCAAGGGACATATTCAAATACCTAAGGGTAAAAAACATACTACAGACACGTACCAAATCAACTGCACCCACACAACAACTAGAAACACCTTCTGCCCGGTACATTCTGACATCCCGCTCCATCAATCCTCTAGCCCTATGCTATAAGGCACTAGAAAGAGGGAAGTCCGCGCACAAACTCCCTTATATGGAGAAATGGGAAGAAGACATAGGGGAATCACTCACTATACAACAATGGCATGAAGCCTTTCATATCACTAAACAAGCGTCTAAGAGCTTGTCCCTATGGGAAGCATATTGCAAAATTGTAATGCGCTGGTATTTAGTCCCCTAAGACTGGCTAGCATGTTTCCCAACACCTCCCCGCTATGCTGGAGGTGCAAACGCACATCAGGGTCGCTGCTACACATATTTTGGGAATGTCCAATCATAACTACGTTCTGGACTTCTGTCCAAAAGCTCATACACGAAGCTACTAGCATGACAATACCACTGAATCCTGCACACTACTTGCTTCATATGCTCCCCGCGAGCAACCCAACGAGACAACCATCAACCACAACTGCCTTAAACATATTAACCACAGTCAAAATTGCGATAGCCTCACAGTGGAAAAACGAGACGCCTCCAACTTTAGAGGAGGTAGCAAAAAGGGTGGATAGCATATGCCTTTATGAGCAGATGGCATTCAAACTGCAGGGAACACCTGAGAAACACAGTATCCAAAAGGGGCGGTTGGCTAAGCGTCTGAGCGAAGGACGGAACAGTAGAATAAGGTACTAAATAAAAACGTTCTAATTTCAAGGTGATTGGACCGGGGGGGGGGGAGGGACCACGAGTCATGGGGACCAAGAGGTCCTGTAGCGGAACCAAAGCCGTGCGCACAACATGCAAAGCCTAGGCCAAGTAGGTACACAGGTTGAAGTTAAAGTTGAATGTTACCCTTCCCTTAACCTCCTTTTTCTTTCTGTACCCGGTTGCATGACGTGAAAGAGATATAAGCCATGTATGCTCACCAACTTAGAGAGCATAGGTAACCAATGTTCCATGCCGAAAATGCTTCAAACAAGTTGTCACATAAGCAACAGTATAACACGACGCCGAAGTAAAGCAAAAGTCAGAGCTGTTTTAATGCACGTGTTATAGTGTACGTGTTATAATGTATGAGGTTTGTTGCAAACCGGTGATGCTGTACCTGGTCAATGAGCTGCTGCGTCAGCAAATGTATTATGCACTGGAGTACTACCCAAAACCAATAAAAAAGATATATGAAAAAATAAAATAATCCTTGGTGGAAAATAATGAATTCTCCACCAGGGATTATTTAAAAAAAACACATTGTGTCGGGGGCGGGACTTAACATGCGGCAGGGGCTGGGTCAAACTGCGGTGAGGGCGGGGTTAAATGTGCCCCCCTACTTTTGTCCGTGGCCCACCATGTGCCCCCCCCTAAAAATGAATCCTAGAGACGGCACTGACAAGGCCTTCTGCACTAACCCAGATGGGAAGAACTTGGCCTCCACAAGTAAACAAGTTGTTTTTTTTCTTGTTTTTTCATACCAATGTGGAAGTTATAAGCCCAGCCGGGGCGTTGGCTAACTGCCTTCCTAGCTGATCGGATCTACCAGTCTATCGTTAACCTAGCACGTTTACCCTTTTTTATTATTTTGCTCTTAAGCTACTGCACCCATGTCATTTTATATGTTAAATCAAAAAATAAATACCTAACGACTGTACCAGTTATGCAACATATGCACATCTTTGTTTTGAATATCTAAATGCCTGTAATTACCTTTTCTTTAACTCAATAACAAATAGATTGACAAAAAAAATTAATGCAATCATTATTTCTGTGGCAAGCACAGAAAAGGAAATAAAATCAAAAGTTTCTATTTGGATTGATGTTGGTCTGAAACACAAGGGGGAGGTCACATATTGTTCCCATAGATATGCCTCCCCTCAACCTATAGCACCTATGGGTAGGCTTGAAAATCTGAAATGAATACAGGAGGTATAAATCAATTCCTTGCTGGAGACTCCGTGAGCAGAAAATACTGTTACTTTATTATCTAAATATATAGCATAATCTGTTGGGAAAAGGTGAACTCACTAATTTAAACCAATTGCCTAAAGGAAATAAAAATAAGATTAATTTACAATTAAAATGTAAAAACTAAACATCAAAGTGGATTGTAAATGTGTATGTTAAAGTAATGTAAGTATACATATAAAATCTTCATCTTATAGGTGCAATATATTAGCTTAGAGTGTGCTGTGTTTTTTGTATTTGTTTATTATTTTGTATAGACAATTATTTACTCCCTCCAGGGAAATGGCCAGGACCGGATGGCTTCACCAATATTTACTATAAAACGTATGCACACACGCTGGCCCCACAACTCTTAAAAACCTACACAATAATGCTCTCACAGGGAAACACACCTGCTAATATGCTTATGGCACATATCACTACCCTCCCCAAACCAGGGAAAATTCAGAATCAAGGGCAAAACCTACGGCCAATCTCACTGTTAACCCCTTAAGGACAGAGCTTCAAAAGCTTGTCTTTCACTTAATGACAACGGCATTTTTTTCATTTTTTGCTGTTTGCGTTCAACTGCAATTTGCATTTTACTAATTTGTTGCACCAACACATATTAGAAAATAAATAAAAGGATGATGTGGGTGATAGTAGGTCTAAATTTTAGTGCAGGCAAGCCACTGTATTGAGGTCACTCTAAACCTCTATATAAATAAAATAAACACAAAGTCTGAACACTAGTGCAGACTACAGGGCGCCACAACCACTAAGATAAATATCAATATGGTATAGAATAATCCCGTAAATGCAGAGTATACTGTGGAAGTGTAGGGTCCACTTTACTGAAACAATAATAGCCAAAAGTGCAACATGCACAAAATAACAGTAATAAAAACAATAATAATCAAAATCAAGAACCCCTATGGATGGCAGCTAAAATCATACAAGTAAAAGTGCAAGTGCCAAGTACAAAAGTACCAATGGTACAAAAACAGCATAAAGTGCACAAATACTATGAGATGTAATACTTGTAGAAAAAGACTGCTATACCAAAAAATGCAGGGATCTTGAAGGTGCTCAATGCTCAACGCGTTTCGTCGATGTCGAGTTCTTCAGGAGCTTGCTGAATTGCTGTTGGTCCCGTTCGTCTTTTAAATCCGCCGGTCTGGCCGCCATTAATTGATCGCGCATGCGCAAACCGTACCGTGCGCACCTTCATACGTGATGACGTGCGACTGGTCGGAAGGCGCATGCGCAAACCAAGCTGGAACGCAAATAAACTTTATGTATAATGTATGCAGCCGCAAAGTGAGCAACAATCCACTTGGAAAGCTCATAGCAATTGCGGTCTGAATTTACAGACCTGCCTATATACAATCTGTTATATTACATATGTGGCATCCTCAATTAAGATGCAAATTAGGCTGGATACAATAAAAATGATGATTAATAGGGCCAACAAGCATATTATATGCAGCTATAACGCTGTGAAAAATTAAATAGTTTATTATATGATTTAAAAATATATAAACACATACATGTGTATAAATATAAATATAAACAGAAAAATGAAAAATGAGGAAAAAAGAGGAAAAAATTAAATTAAATGAGGAAAAAAGCTTAAAAGCCCATTTGCATTGCTACATTCATGTTTTGAATACATACATTTTGCTAAGGCTAACATAAAAAGCTGTCCTTTTAATATCATAATAGATCTTATAAACATTAATATAAAATGTCAAGAAATCAAAAATTCAATTTATCTGAATGTATACAAAGTTCAAGATGAGAACAAATCCCAGCGATATAAATTTAATCAAAAGCCATATTTAAAAGAGAAAGAGATAAGTAGCAAATATACTAAAAAATATGTATAATAAATTATAAATCATAAAACCCTATATATATACAATCCAAAGAGTAGACATAATTTTCCGAAGAGTAGACATAATTTTTCTGTTGTTTCATTCTTCATTGCTCATAGAAAGGGGATATGAAAAGAGAATATAAAAAGGAAATATAAAAAGGGGATATAAAAACGACAGATTAATATGTGCAAATTAATCAATAAAAACAAGTATGTCAAGGTCTGTATTGAGGCCCGAGGGAACCGATGATTTCATCTTGTATATCCATTCGGTTTCCCTCATTGCCAACATTTTTTCGGTATTACCCCCTCTCCAGTGTGGTATGATCAAGTCAATTCCAATACATATAAAATCTTTCAAATTAAAAACATCACAGGTGGTGCAGTGTTTAGGAACACTGTGTTTCATGTTTCTATTATTAATCCCATTAAAATGTTCAAGTAATCTAACATGTAGTTTTCTAATGGTGCGTCCTATATACTGGACGCCACATTTACATTGTAGTAGATATACAACATTACTGTCAAAGTAAAAATGTTGTATATCTACTACAATGTAAATGTGGCGTCCAGTATATAGGACGCACCATTAGAAAACTACATGTTAGATTACTTGAACATTTTAATGGGATTAATAATAGAAACATGAAACACAGTGTTCCTAAACACTGCACCACCTGTGATGTTTTTAATTTGAAAGATTTTATATGTATTGGAATTGACTTGATCATACCACACTGGAGAGGGGGTAATACCGAAAAAATGTTGGCAATGAGGGAAACCGAATGGATATACAAGATGAAATCATCGGTTCCCTCGGGCCTCAATACAGACCTTGACATACTTGTTTTTATTGATTAATTTGCACATATTAATCTGTCGTTTTTATATCCCCTTTTTATATTTCCTTTTTATATTCTCTTTTCATATCCCCTTTCTATGAGCAATGAAGAATGAAACAACAGAAAAATTATGTCTACTCTTCGGAAAATTATGTCTACTCTTTGGATTGTATATATATAGGGTTTTATGATTTATAATTTATTATACATATTTTTTAGTATATTTGCTACTTATCTCTTTCTCTTTTAAATATGGCTTTTGATTAAATTTATATCGCTGGGATTTGTTCTCATCTTGAACTTTGTATACATTCAGATAAATTTAATTTTTGATTTCTTGACATTTTATATTAATGTTTATAAGATCTATTATGATATTAAAAGGACAGCTTTTTATGTTAGCCTTAGCAAAATGTATGTATTCAAAACATGAATGTAGCAATGCAAATGGGCTTTTAAGCTTTTTTCCTCATTTAATTGAATTTTTTCCTCTTTTTTCCTCATTTTTCATTTTTCTGTTTATATTTATATTTATACACATGTATGTGTTTATATATTTTTAAATCATATAATAAACTATTTAATTTTTCACAGCGTTATAGCTGCATATAATATGCTTGTTGGCCCTATTAATCATCATTTTTATTGTATCCAGCCTAATTTGCATCTTAATTGAGGATGCCACATATGTAATATAACAGATTGTATATAGGCAGGTCTGTAAATTCAGACCGCAATTGCTATGAGCTTTCCAAGTGGATTGTTGCTCACTTTGCGGCTGCATACATTATACATAAAGTTTATTTGCGTTCCAGCTTGGTTTGCGCATGCGCCTTCCGACCAGTCGCACGTCATCACGTATGAAGGTGCGCACGGTACGGTTTGCGCATGCGCGATCAATTAATGGCGGCCAGACCGGCGGATTTAAAAGACGAACGGGACCAACAGCAATTCAGCAAGCTCCTGAAGAACTCGACATCGACGAAACGCGTTGAGCATTGAGCACCTTCAAGATCCCTGCATTTTTTGGTATAGCAGTCTTTTTCTACAAGTATTACATCTCATAGTATTTGTGCACTTTATGCTGTTTTTGTACCATTGGTACTTTTATACTTGGCACTTGCACTTTTACTTGTATGATTTTAGCTGCCATCCATAGGGGTTCTTGATTTTGATTATTATTGTTTTTATTACTGTTATTTTGTGCATGTTGCACTTTTGGCTATTATTGTTTCAATAAAGTGGACCCTACACTTCCACAGTATACTCTGCATTTACGGGATTATTCTATACCATATTGATATTTATCTTAGTGGTTGTGGCGCCCTGTAGTCTGTACTAGTGTTCAGACTTTGTGTTTATTTTACCAACACATATTATACATCGTTTTTTAAAGGACAGAAAGGGCTTTAATTTGATGTAACACACATATATATAAATGCTTATTTATTATAAAAAGAAATACAGAAAAATGTAAAAAAAATGAAAATGTTGTGTTTTTTTTTACAGTTTTTGCAATAATAATGTGTGCATAATTAGTGCAGGTTAAGAAAAGTAATTAAAAATAAATTAATTTAGTTGTTCTGATTTACAGAATATACAATGTGTCTGGGATTTAAAGTTTTTTTTGGTAGTTACAGGTCACAAAGCACAAGGAGTAAAATACATTTTAATGTGGAGCGATTTTAGAATTTGGTATGTTTGTCTTGTAAGCTTAATAGCCATAAAAGAAAACAAAATTGCCACACAAAAGTATATATTTATATAAAGTAGACATCACGGGCTATTTACCTAAGGTTGTTTTGACACTTTCTACGTAGCCATTTCACCGCCAACCTCTGCTAAATATTGGAGTAAAATTGTGTTTTTTTTGGTTTTTGGCACACAAACTTATAACAAAGAAATTCTCGTGTATATTTTGTAAAGTTGGTGTGTGCTATTCCTGTACAAAGTTTTATTTTGTGTTCAGTTACATCTGCTGAGTAAAACGACACCCCCATTGTATGTCTTTGCCACTATTTTGTGAAGTTACAGTGCCACACAAGATACCTGTCCTTTTCAGTATTCACAGTAGAATTTTGAGAGATGGATTTAATGAGCCTTAGCTTCCATTTGGGGTATTATGACAGTTTGACTGTTCAAAAAACCCCTACAAAGGCCTACCATTTGTAAAAGTAGACACTCCAGGGTATCTCATAAGGTGCATATTGTGCCTTAACATGCCCCCATTTTTTCACCAATATATGCCAAAGCATGTGGTAAAAAATAATTTTGTGCATTTTTTACATACGGATTGCATTTTTGCTGGGCGTTTTGTATATTTCATATGTGCCACTAAGTTCAAACCCCCCAAATTATGCTCAGCTAAGTCTTCTGAGTAAAATGACACCCCATATGAATGTCTTTGGCACTATTTCGTGAAGCTACAGTGCCATATAGGAGACCTGTCCTTTACAGTATTCACAGTAGAATTTTGAGAGATGGATTTAATGAGCCTTAGCTTCCATTTGGGGTATTATAACAGTTTGACTGTTCAAAAAACCCCCACAAAGGCCTACCATTTGTAAAAGGAGACACTCAGGGTATCTTATAAGGTGCATATTGTGCCTTAACATACCCCCATTTTTTCACCAATATATGCCAAAGTATGTGGTAAAAAATTATTTTGTGCATTTTTTACATACGGATTGCATTTTTGCTGGGCGTTTTGTATATTTCATATGTGCCACTAAGTTCAAACCTCCCAAATTATGCTCAGCTAAGTCTTCTGAGTAAAAAGACACCCCCAATGAATGTCTTTGGCACTATTTCGTGAAGCTACAGTGCCATATAGGAGACCAAGCCATATCCGTTTTTACCAAACTTTGAATTTTGACGCTGGGCCTATGTGCAATTTCCAAGCATCTTCGCAGGTTTTAAATTCAAACTACCCCACAAAGGCCTACCATTTCTTAAAGTAGACACCCCAGGGTGTTTCAAAAGGTATATTTTGAACCTTAGCGTGGGATCATTTTTCAGCTAGCTTGTACCAGATGTAGTGGTAATAAGCGTTTTTTCTGCCTTTTTGACATACAAAGTGAGTTTGCACAGTATATTTTGCAAACCTTATGTGTGCTACGACTGTATAATACTTCATATGTTGCTCAGCTATGTCGGCTGAGTACAGCAATACCCCTGTATGTACCTTTGCCAGGTATGTGTGGACATCGGAGGGGCACATTTGGGACACAGCCATTCCAGTTTTTTTTCAAACTTTGAAATTTTTATGCTCTGCCTATATCCCATTTTAGAGTATTTTACCAGGCTATATAATCCAAATACCCCATAAAGCCATACCATTTCTTAAAGAAGACATCCCAGGGTATTTCAAAAGGCATATCTTGAACCTTAGCGTGGGATCATTTTTCCGCTAGCTTGTACCAAGTGTAGTGGTAATAAGCATTTTTTCTGCCTTTTTGACATACAAAGTGAGTTTGCGCAGCATATTTTGCAAACCTTATGTGTGCTATGACTGTATAATACTTCATATGTTGCTCAGCTATGTCAGCTGAGTACAGCAATACCCCCGTATGTACCTTTGCCAGGTATGTGTGGATGTTGAAGGGGCACATTTGAGACGCAGCCATTCAGTTTTTTTCTAACTTTGAAGTTTTACACTGTGTCCATGTTCCAATTTGGAGTAGTTTAGACGGTTGGTTATTGAAACTTCCCCACAAACACATACTATTTATTAAAGAATACACCCTGGGGTAATTCAAAAGGCATATTTTGAACCTTGGCGTGGGATAATTTTTTCTCTAGTTTGTTCCAGGTGTAGTGGTAATGAGCGTTTTTAAAATGTATTTTTTTACTTTTTATAACTTTTTTACTTTTAAAAACTAGTTTTTAAACTTTTGTTTTGCTTATAAATTTTTTTTAAACTTTCCTAAACTTTCTTAAAACTTTTTTACAGATTTAACATTTTTCTAAGCTTTTTTTTTTACCGTTAACCCCTAACTAGCAGTACGCAGCACTAACAGTAAATTCCCCATTTTCCCATAACTCCCACCCACCCCAGCTAGCAAAATACATAGTTATAAAATATTTTAATTAATTAATTAAATAAATTGAACCCTGAGGGTTAAAAAATAAATAAAAAGTTAATCCTCAGGGGTTAAAAAAAATTAGATCACAGTATAATACTGTGATCTCTATTTGATCGCTGTAGGCAGTGATCGACTGGCAGGGAAGGGGTTAATTTTTATTTGGACTAGGTAAAGGTTTTTTATTTTTATTTTTTACTTAAACGTTATTAAAACATTTTTTGAAGTTTAATTTTTAACTTTTTAAAGTTTATTTTAAAACTTTAACGTTAACCCCTAGTTAGCCTAACGCCAAATCCCCCAATTACCCACTAACTTCCACCCACCCCAGCTAGCTAAATATATAATTTTAAAATATTTTAATTAATTAATTAAATAAATTTAACCCCTGAGGGTTAAAAAAAAAAAGAATTAACCCTCAGGGGTTAAAAAAAAATCAGATCATAGTAAAATGTAATCCCTGCCAATTGATCACTGTAGTCAGTGATCAATTGGCAGGGAAGGGGTTAATTTTTTATTAAAATGGGTAAAGGGGGGTGGGATTTTAAATTAACTTTATTTTTTTTCCTACAGGGGGCAGGATCATTACTGATCCGGCTCCCTGCACTTCACACAGAACCCGGAAGTGCAGGGAGCCGGTAGGTGAGTATACAGAGCACATGTGCTCGCTCTGACTTGCGGTCAGAGCGAGCACATGTGCTGGGCAGCCTGACCAGGTGCTCCCGGTATGCCTCTAATGCAGAGGCATACCGGAGCACCACTAACCCCGCGATCGCCGCGATAGCGGCGATCCGGGGTTAATTTTACCGCGTGACGGACGAGTACCCGTCCTGAAGGGGTTAAATACAGACGTAAAAATATTTGCAAAAATATATGCAAACAGACTGTCCACTATCCTCCCAACGATCATACACAATGATCAGGTTGGATTCATACGGGGTCGCCAGGGAAGTGACGGCACACACAAGGTGCTTAACCTGATGCAGGTGTTGCAAGGGGGTGGGGAGGCACAGTGTATTCCTCTCATTAGATGCAGAGAAAGCATTTGACAGGCTGGCCCTTCCTCCTCGCGGTGCTGCAAAAATACGGATTTCCAGGAGAGTTTATCTCGGCAGTCCCTATACAGCAACCCAGTGGCCAAGGTGGTGGGGGGACGTTTTACCTCTGTCCAATTCAACATTTCCAATGGCTCCAGGCAGGGCTGCCTCCTCTCCCCCCTACTGTACGTGCTGGAGCTGGAACCGCTCACGACACTCATTAGGAGCAACCCAGGTGTCCATGGAATCAAGGTCAAAACAAATAAACTCACGTTATTCGCAGACGACATCCTCCTCATGCTCACACAACCCCGTCTTTCCATCTCAACCTTCCTCCAAATCTTATAAGAATACAGTAGGTGTTCCCAGTGGCGTACTAAGGGGGTCCGCCCCGGGTGCCAGCAGGATGGGGGGTGCCTTGGGAGGGGGCGCCGCCAGGAGCGCCGGCCCCCCTCATGCTGCAGCCGCCCAAGCGCTCTGCAGAGAGCCTCAGGCGGCTGCAGCCTTGCCCGCCCGGGCGCAGCCTGAGGAGAGGGGCTGACAGGAGGGAAGCGCTCAGCTCTTCCTCCTGTCACTCCCTCCCTGTAGCGTGGCCGAGCCCTGTATTGGTCCGCGGGTACAGGGAGCATCTGTCTCCTGTACCCAGCCGGACTAACAGGAAGTGCACACTGAGTGTTCACTTCCTTTTAGTCCGGCCGGGTACAGGAAACAAAAGCTCCCTGTACCCGCGGACCATGATACAGCCACGCTACAACAATGGTGGGTGGGGGGAACAAGGAGAGATGGGGGAATAAGGAGAGATGTGGGAGGGGGAATAAGGAGAGGGATGTGGGGGGAATAAGGAGAGGGATGGGAGGGGGGGGGGACAAGGAGAGGATGGAGGGGGGGATAAGGAGAGGATGGGAGTGGGGGGAATAAGGAGAGATGGGGGAATAAGGAGAGATTGGGAGGGGGGAATAAGGAGAGATGGGGGGAATAAGGAGAGATTGGGAGGGATAAGGAGCGATGGGGGATAAAGAGAGATTGGGAGGGGGGAAGGAAATTGGAGAGGGGGGATAAAGAAAGATTGGGGGGAGATAAAGAAAGAAAGAAATTGGGAGGGGGGAGAGAAATTGGGAGGGGGAAGGAAATTGGAGACGGCGATAAAGAAAGAAATTGGGAGGGGGAGAGAGAAGGGAAATTGGAGTAGGGGAGAGATTGACATTCATCACACACAATGCACCCCTTGCACACAGAAAAAACACACAATGCATTACACACACTGCATTACACATACACAAGCACAAATGCAACTGCTACACACAATGCATCCCTACACACACAGAAACACACAATGCATCTTCATTACAATACACCTCAATGCACCCCACACACTCAATGGTCCTGCATATACAGAGAAACACACCTTGCAGCCCTTACACATACAAACACAATTTCACACAATGCATTCCTTACACACATATCAGGACATCCCTTACACACTCCACCCCCTGTGAACAAACTCATTGGTGGAACATGAAGGTGGACCCTGGGACCCAGACCTTGAGCTGTGTAAAGGACCCCCAAAAAATGTTGCTGCTTCCCGTTCTCCCAGAACATTGATTTTTGTGACCACAGTTACAAACCGCCTCCAGAGAGCCTGTTCTGCACCAGACCAGTGGAGCCAGACTGCAGCTAGAGCCCATCATCATCCTCATCTGGCTGTAAGTAGGCAATCTAGTATATTATTCGTGGCACTAAGCTCTAACTTACCTCACATTAAAGAAACACTATAGTCCCCAGAACCACTGCAGCTTAATGTAGTGGTTCTGGTGTCTATAGCCTGTCCCTGCAGGCCTTTTAATGTAAACACGGCGGCACTGCAGCACTGGCGTTAGATAACATGGCAAATCATATGGGTGGGGCATTGTGATGTCACATGGGCGGGGGCGGCAAACTTACTTTTGCCTAGGGTGGCAAAAATCATTGCACGGGCCATGGCTGGAGGGAGCTGTGTGAGCTGTGGCCAGTGCCGTGCGGCCAGTACAGTTCACACAAGCAAACAGCTGATAAACTGGCCGCATGGAGGAAAAGTGGGGCGGAGCTAAGCAAAATTGGAGGCGGGGCCAAACTGCCACTGGGGGCGGGGCTTTCGCAGGGGGGCAAGGGGGTGCCAAGCACAGGATCTGCCCCAGATGCCAAATGCTCTAGGTACGCCCCTGGGTGTTCCTACTATAAACTCAATCTGACCAAAACGCAAGCCATGGGAATCAATATGCAACACAGCTAACTAATAGACCTACAATCCCAACACAGCTTCGATTGGAAGTCAGACAGCCTCACCTTCCTGGGAATTGTTCTCACACCCAGCATTCCAGGACTATATAAAGCCAATTACCAAAAATTAGTGAAAGAGGTCAAATCAACATTAGACAGCTGGAGTAAGAAATATATCTCATGGACAGGCCGACTGGCAGCCATAAAAATGATCATAGTCCCCAAATTTCAATACCTGTTCTGTACCCTGCCCATTCACCTCCCAACTGCATACTTTAAGGAGGCGCAACAGCTGCTTAACCAATTCACTTGGGTGTACAAGTTACCTAGGGTGAAAGCACATATAATGTACAAAAAAACTGCAGAAGGGGGGATGAATGCACCCAACCTCCACGTATATTAGCAGGCGGTATATTACCAATCCACACTCACAGTTCACCGCCTCAATGGGTGACATTAGAAAATGATGTAGTGCACCCACACAGACTCGTATCCATGATATGGTCCCCCAAGCACTGCAGACCTAAGAGAATAACCATGCTACCAACAACAGAAACAACACTCTGAATTTGGGACAGGAACAAACACAAATGTTGTTCACATAACTCGTAGTTTAAAGCTATGTCAATTCCCGCCCTAACCTCAGCGATAGCTGACTTCAATTACAAAATCTGGGAACGACATCAGTTCTATCACGATACTAACTTACTAACATTTCCGGAGTTGCAACACCAGTATGGCCTCCCATCCATAGCACACTTCTCACACCTACAAATAAATTCATGGTTAACAAAACTGCACATAGGAAAAGGTGGCAATGTAAATGAGCATCGGCCGACGAGCTTCAAGCGCACTCTACTCAAACTGACACCAGCGCACAAAACCTACTCAATACTCTATTCTAATATACTACAATTTAACCTCACCCTCAGGTACCCCTTTGTGGTGGCATGGGAGAAAGACTTTGGGCTACCCATACTGGACAAAACACTGCAGGAGATCTTTCTCACTCCCAAACAACTCACACTTAGCGCAAACCACACCGAATTACCAAGAAAAATCTTATACAGGTGGTACCTAGTGCCTACACGCCTTGAGCAAATATACCCTGAAGCCTCAGATAGATGTTCACATCTGGAACAGGCTCTATTATCCACATATGGTGGACGTGCCCGATACTCACACCATACTGGGCAGCGATAATTATGCTGATCCGAGACAGCACAGGCACTAACCTACCTAAAACACCAGACTGTCTCTTACTCCATAACTACCCACCCAAACTACCCAAAGCAACAAGGTATCTAATTTACCAGATTAACATTGCGGCCCTGGCTCTGATAAGCAGATCGTGGAAAAAACTGGAGGCGCCGACCATACCACACTGCATACAGCTCATTGACACGACCCGATTCTATGAATCCTCGTGCAGAACAGCTCTCTCCACCAAGGCAACATTTTGGAGCAGGGCTTGGTAGGTGTGGGAGGTCTTTATAGGCCATAGCCCCCATCACCTGGGGAAACTGTCTTGAAGAGTCGACAGCCAAGCTCATAATGAGTACAACTGAAACTGTATAAGCTATACAAATGGATGTTGTTAGGCTGTTAGCCCGGGTATACATGATCACACTTTGCTTCTCATCCCTCTCAAACGAGATGTCCATAAGTACTCCTCAATGACCCTGATAAGGCTGGATGCTCACTGGAACGTGACAACTATTTGGCAAACTCAGCTCTCTCAACCCATAATCCCTTCAACCCATCCTTCCATACAGCACCGGAATAATGGAGAGAGTCATCGTAAAAGGGCCTATAGTAATATATTATTTTAGGTTTGCCCTTAAAATAAAAACAGACAAAGTGAGTAATATTGAACATTGGAATATACAATCGGTCCTCAGGAATGAATGAAAGAGATCTGAGAAAGATAACACCAGTGTTTAATTATATATGGGTATATATATTTTATATATATTGCAGAAAATATTGAATAGGTAGTAAGATGTATTACTGAATCTTAGAAAGGCCACGTTTAACCATAAAAAAATTCTTGAGGGAATTTAGGAAAATATACATGCCACAGGTAGGTAGCATAAACATAGATAGACTTTATCAAGGGAGGCTGCCTGTGGTGGTGTATGTGTGTTGAAGGCTGCTTGTGGTATTGCATGTGTATAGGGGGCTGTTTGTGGTGTATGATGTGTGGCTAAAGGCTGTAGTGTATGTGTTTCCAGGCTGCATATACAATATTCTAAATTAATATTTTACTATTTTAGATGAACTTGCCGCATGAATTTGGTAGATCAGGCATAGGCAACCTTCAGCACTCCAGATGTTTTGGACTACACCTCCCATGATGCTTTGCCAGCATTATGGGTGTAAGAGCATTATGGGGGATGTGGTCCACAACATCTGGAGTGCCAAAGGTCGCCTATCACTGTGGTAGATAATTACCATTAATTATCTTCTAACTTACAGTTGCATTGATTAAAGACATATCAATCTTTGTGATTCCTGTGGGAAAAGCAAGTCTTATGGCTTGACTGGTGTGCAGATTTTTGTTTAACACTGTATTAACTATATATATATATATATAGAAATGTGAATGTACCTGGGTATATGATATATGTGACATATCACATATATCATATACCCAGGTACATTCACATTTCTATGTGTGTCACCAAACAGCAGTATATTTTATTTGACCACTGTACATAGTTGTGGTGACAAACTCCTCGGTGGTCATCTCCGGTCCCAAACTCTTCTGGTTGCATCCCATTGTGGTTAGAAAGCAATTAAATTGGCACGGTATGAGGTCTTTAACACAATTGTTGTGAAATGGAGAAAAAAAAACAATGTCAGACTAACGCCTTTCAAACAAGTCATTGTAGCCTCTTCCAGGGCCATTTAATACTAGTACAGAACAATGTGATGCATTGCTGTGATGTACAATGCTGGATAGAGGAAACTGTTCTTCCTACAGGAACATATAATACAATTCAGAGCATTCTACTCTCTGTATAACTATGCAGGGTGCATAGGGACAGTCAACAGAGATTTAGAACCCTGAGCAGCTTTATAAAACCCTCTACAGAACAAAGCAAACTCATTCCGGAGTCCTATACACTTTTACAGGTCTATAAGACCCCATGCAGATATATAGAACTCTGAACCCAGCAATTCACTCTCTTTGGAGAGATAAAGGGAATTTTTCCTGTAATTAAATGAACCGAACCTAATAATGTTGATTACAATTATCTATTAGAGCAAGGTGAAATAAATGTTTTTATTGTGATCTATTTATTTAAAGGAATGTGGGTTAGTAAAGGGAGATGACACTATTTTGAATGCAATAAGTAGATAATGTAAAAATACACACAAAAAAAATAATTACTCACCTTTAACTCCTTAGTGACCAAGGCATTTTTGACATGTCCAACCCAAAAGTACAGACCTTTGTGCTTAACATGTATAGTTGGTAAATGTTTTAAGGGCTGTTAATAGATAATATTCAACAATTACATGATTTTGCTATTTCATGAAGAAAACTCATGATTTTATGAAAGACACAGAGGTGAGTATTGCTTAATCCTTTCTTTACTGTTCACCAATAGCAGCAAAGACCACAAATAGAAAAAAATAGCAAGCACCGCCTCTAAAGCTTCCTCTTTCTTTGGAGATGCGACACATCCTAAGGAGAGATATAAAACAGGAACCAACAGAAAATCTCAACAACCCAGAAAACAAAATCCAGTGAATGCCAGTCCATGGAACTTCTCAACCGGGAACAAACTTCAAGACGGTAAGGGAATCCAGTCATCTTAAGTGAAACACACCGGGAAGAAGTGAGGACCATTGAGCCCCACCGAATCAAGCTGTCAAAACACAAAGAACAGTAGCCCAATGATATCAGGTTGTATTACAAACAGTGCAAAACCCACAGTGCAAAAACATGAAAAATCGAACCTGTGCACACTTGAACAGAAAACCACTAAATAATTAC